GATGACTTGAGGGTGAGTAAATCATGGGGTACTTTTAATTTTTGGGAGAAATATCCCTTTAAAATTAGAATCAAGTAAAATCGAGAAATCGCAATTTTTCAGCCCTATAGCATCTATTGTCTTTTTAATATCGTGAGAGCAGAAGGAAAAGAAAAGGCCAAGAATTTTTAATAATGCTAAACTAAACCAGGAATGACTATTTTGCACCATATTAAATACGTAGTTGAATGCACATTTGCATTTATGTTGTCTTCAAATCTGTTCAAAATCCCTACAAGACCACCTCCAAATGTGGTTAATGCTTTTAAAAGTCTGACCCAAATCCGTAACCATAATTAAGAGCAATATTAAAAGTGATTCTTGCCATACCAAACACCACTAATGAATTAAAAACAGTTCCAGATGACTGGACACCTTATAGAGCAGAGGCAAAACTCATTTGCAAAATGAAGTTCCGCATTCACCTTCTTTCATTCTACCCAAAAAAAACACTCTCTTTGAACCTGAAATGCAGAAATATGCCCCAAGTCATGCACCTTCATGTAAATGTAAGAAAAGTCTGCAGCAGAGAGAAGTTGATATTCCAGTTCGAGTTCTGGCGGCCCTCCCCCCGCTGCTCTGAAAGGCTGACCTTTGACCTCTGTACTGAGAATGAATCCTCTGGCCCGGGCCACGCTGTCAGAGTAGCCGTTCTGATCCAGACTAGTGCTCTTGAACCCCAAGCCACCCTGACGAGAACACGGTGACAGAATCAGAGCTTCAAGGGTGTGTATGTTCTGTCATCGATAATAAACACTCCTCTTTTTGCTTTCCTCAAAGCATGCGCATCTCCCACCGAGAGGGGAAAGACTGACTGAGCAGGGCCTTTCACCTTTAAAGGTCAGGGCATAGAAGCCCTCCTATCAACTGAAATCAAGGGTACATGCGGGGACTTTGGGAAAAGCTGTGAAGAGAAGAAAAGAAACCCAAAGCTGTTTTGGTGCACTTCTGTAAACAGTCAGTGTCAAAAACAGCAAGTTAGGAAGGTTATAGTGACACATATGAGCAGTGTCGGGGAAAGTTACTTTTAAAAGTAATGCATAGCAATATTGCACTACTCCTTAAAAAGTAAATAAGTGCATTACTTAGTTACTCTTTATGAAAGTAATGCAAGTAAGGCATTCACGTTAAGTTTGGTCACATGGGCTGGGCTTGCTTGCTTATTTGTTTTTTAATAAAAAGAAAAAAAATCCAGTTATATTTTTGGCAACTTATTCTGCACCTCATTCATAATTTCTCTCAACACAGGGACAAGAGAGGTGTCAGTGAATAAATGGGAAAACAAAGTTTTCCTTATTTAAAAAAGTAACTCAGATATTTCCTTGAAATTTTTAAAGTAATGCATTACTTTACTAGTTATTTTAAAAAGTAATATGATAATGTAACTTGTGTTACTTGTTATGCATTATCAATGCAACTTTAAGCAGTGTAGAATAGCGCTTTTTGTTTGTCGTTTCTCCGATCACAAATGCAGACATGGTTTTATGTTTACGCGGCGCGATACGCAACGCAACGCATTAAAACACAGTATAAGTCATTATAATCAGTAATTATGTCCCCACTGGACGCAACAAATGCCTCGTTTGTAATGGGTTTTATTGGTTTTGGCTCGTCATGCCGGGAGACGGCATCACAGTATGTTAAGGGCCTAACATTTCCGTCACACGCTTGAGGTATTCGGCCAATCACAACGCACTGGACAGCTGGCCAATCAGCATACACCTCGCTTTTCAGAACGATGAGTTTTGTAAAAATCGAAGCGTTTCAGAAAGGCGGGGCATAGAGGAGAAACAATAATGTACAGTATGTGGAAAATAATGTGTTTTTTGTACCTTAAACCACAAACACATTGCACTACACCAAATACACAACATAATGTTCTTTTTAGCAACGTCATATGACCCCTTTAAAACACATGTGCCATGTTCTTCAAACATATTTCCTTACATCTTGAATAGCCTACATGTAATAGTTTCAGATGTTTTGGGGGGAAAATAAGTCAACAAGTTAAAAAAGAAAAATCTGATAAATTGACATTAGTATTACTATTATTATTTAAATGATTTAAAATAAAGTAAGGATACATGTGCCATGTTCTTATGTTCTTCAAACATATTTCCTTACATCTTGAATAGCCTACATGTAATAGTTTCAGATGTTTTGGGGGGAAAATAATCTGATAAATTGACATTAGTATTACTATTATTATTTAAATGATTTAAAATAAAGTAAGGATAATGCTGAGAACATCTCTAACATTATTTGTTTGCATTAGATGATAATGCAATTAAATTCATACATTTTTAAATCTGGCATTACCACATTTTCACACAGTATATTGTAGTTTCACATAACTCTTTATTGCAAACATTATGAAAGCATTTTTTATGCTTGATTTAATTTTCTTCCATTAAATTGCTCTTATTACTAAACTCACATTTTAAAATAATTATATTTGTCAAGGTCTGTATTTTAGCTGTTTATGGAGGAAACACTCTGCGAAACTGAATGGAATTAAAGACACTGCTGATGTCAGAGTACTAAAAAAAGAAAGAAAAATAAGACAGAAATCACATAATAAGCTCCAATCTAGGGAACAAATGCAGCTCTGAAGGGTACTTGCAAAAAACTATATATATATATATATATATATATATATAAATTACAATATATGACTTCATTTTCTTTTAATTATTGACCAATTTATTATATTTTATTGCTCTTTGTAAACATACCCGATCAATGTGGTTAGAAAATGTCCAGATATTGTACTATCCACATGCACAAAACATACTAATGCCAAGAGTAAAGTGGGCCACAGACTCTTGGGTTGGGTTCTTTCGACTTTGGACCAGTAAGAGACCAAACGCAATCATGACAGACAAGAGATCTGTCCCATCTCAAAGCTGCATCATGCACGGCCTACCTGTCACCAACATCCAGTGTCTGAAAGCCACACACAGGATCTGTGCCTAATCAATTATACATGAAGCAAACAGAATCAAATCAATTAGGTATTGCTGTGGCATGAATAAAAGGTGCATAATTGATGCCCGCTCTCCTGCATTATACATATCTGTCTGCAAATCTCCACGTACCGCTTCCGAGAGAGAGTCAAAGAGCACCGAGGCCACATTTCACCACTTTATTCACTTAATCTACTCATTTGCATTGGCATGAGCCGGACGTGGAGGCTGATCTTCAGCTGAAAAGGATCTCTAAGGGTTACAGTTGTGCCATTAAATAAGAAGGCCACAGTTACCACAGGAAGCAAACATCCAGGTATTTTCCATCGATGTCAAGATATCAACTGGATCGGATCATATTGTGGCAAGAAAAGTCAATATTGGAAAAACGGCTTCTGGAGGAACTACTCATCATGAGCGGGCATGAGAGTATTAGATGAGGTGAGAGGCAGAGATTTCGGGGTCCATTTCTCTCTTTATATTCTCAGGGCGTCTAGACAGATGGCAGACATTAAAAGAAGGAGCCATGTGAGCACCGCTGAGATAGAGGTAATTAAAATACATTTAATCAAGTTACTCTAATGAAAAATGCAGCTGGACACCCGGTTCCACCTTCTGCTCCCACTGTCACACTTAAGTTCTTTAACGTTTGGCCCCCTGTATACCAGAAAACTGCACTCACAATAAGGGTTTTTTTGGCTTTACATATAAAGTGGGGCTGGGTACCATTGACTACATCATGATACAGCACACATCACAATATGCATGTCACGATTGCATTTAACAGTCAATCAAAAGTGGGTAACACCTAGCAAATGAAGGATATACCACCTGGTTTAAAACCTGATCATATTCATGAGCCAGGGTGATGAGGTTTAGCAGGAAATCTTAAAATTATGTTTTCTAAATCTGGCAAAGTCATTGCAATTGGAACGAGAATGATTAATAATGTTGAAATGTATGGAAATTCCTGTAATGAATCCATTTTTCTCTTTATGCTCTTCTGTGAAATATGTCATCTGCTAAATATTGCTTGTGCAAAGTAAAACTTGCTTGTAACCAACAGTGACTGGTGAGTGTTTTTACTCTTTTAAATTAAAGATTCACAAATCAGTCTAAATGATTCATTAGCAAATTCATTTGAATTTGAATGACCTTATCACGTTACTATATATAGGAGGATCATGGAAATTCATTGGTCAAAAACTGTTGGAACAAACACCAACACTTGGTACCTTATAACCTTTTGAAAATGTTCAGGAACATGTCCCATTTAGTCAAATCAAGGTATAAGAAGTACATTTAAACCTATATATTTAAAATATAAGCAAGTGTCTTTAATTTGTTATTGTATTAGCAAATGGAAATGTCTTAGGTACAACATTAAAGGCTTTTGGGGGGATTGTTTAATAATGGGACAAACTAAAAATATATATTAAAAGTTACTGGGGCCTTTTATTGATACTATGGAATAAAAAACAACATTAACAGTAGTAACAATACTAACACTAATTTCAAATAATACAAAAAAAATTATAATATAGGCCTATTATAATATAACATAAATAATAGCAAAAACAATGAATTATGAATAGTCGTTTGATAAGGAAAAAAACATTTATACAGTATACATAAGGCCTTATTTTAATAGTAAATAATAATAGACTGACATTTCAACATTTAACCACGTTGTTCACTCTAGCCTTAGCATGTCTGAATTTATGAGATTATTTCCATTAAACTCATACTGCTGAGCAAGACATATTTTCCGAGCATCAAATGCAACTACTGATTTGCATGACGCTGTCACAAAATAACAAGTAATATGTTTACATTCGCCTGACGCGCTGACATAATTCGTGACATAAACCATCTATCACCTCAATACATTTACATAAACACCACATGCGTATTATTGAACACGAATTTAAAGAGACCGTGATCACACCATCCAAATGCCATCTCACACCGTCCACACAGAACACATGCACTCACCTTCCGTGTCGAGGAGACGCTGACTGTGTGGGGGATTTTGGGAAGCGTAGTTTTTTAAGCTCTCGCGGGAGCGCAGTCTAATGCGCCACAAAACTACATTTCCCGTTATGTTGTTGTTGCTGTCAACATATTCAGGATGTTCGAAGTACAATTGCGTGTTATTAGTCATGTACGTCTTGTACTTTGTTTTACATTACGTTTCAGTGCCGCTGTATTATAAAAAAAACGTTTTGTCATTGAATAGACTAAAATAGAGTGGAGTGGAATGTAACAATAAAAGGCCATTAGATGCATCATGTCTCACATTAAAACATGAGTAGGTAGGACCTAAATGTGTTATGATATGTATTTATTTATTTTGTTTACCTCAGGATGGTGGTGCTCATATAATTCACCCCCTGTGTCTTATTTCTGATTGATTAAACCAATGGTGTTACAACTCAGGTCTTGACTTCCTTTAGGTTGTCGCTATAAACATCAAGCGTAGACATCCAAAGGCTACTTCTAGTATCCCAGAAGTCATTAGGTTCCCCATATGCAGTGAACCGATTGATTATTGTAGAGAAATTGATTAGCTGACTTAATTAGAATGGACAGCTGATATAGCTTTAAAACTGGGGGGAAACCTCCCTAAGGAACATTGCATGACTATTAATTAAACACTAGCCACCAAAGACATTTTGTACTAATCTAAAAAGAGTCAAAGATAGTGTGCTGGCAGCTGCAAAGTTTATGAGGCCTTTTATGGCTATGAGTAATACATTTTCAGTAAAGCGAAGGACAGAGTTATTGTTATACTGCATATGACATTAAGAGTCGGACTACAGTGAAAAATGGCATATTTAGGGTTTGTTTGTTGCTCGCTTCGTATCGAGTGGGATATTGATTTACTGTCATGCAGATGTTGGATAAATGGGGCAACATCTGGATATGACACAATGACTTATCATAAAACTGCACTATCATTGGCAGCTGTTATTTCCCCTCCTACTGGCAGCCATTAGCTCGCCGTTCTATTCTTAAATTTAATATATTAATTCAAGTGGCTCCGACAGCAAATATATGTCAGAGTTTAGGTGGATTCCTGGAAGCCATAGCTATAGTAGCCTAATAATAATACTAATAATAACAATAATGGCAGATGCTGAAGCCACATTCTTCTTTAATATGACAATAAATCTATTGAATGATTTTCTGACTTGGCAAAAAAATAAAAAAGTCAGGCAGCTGCAAAGTTTATGAGGCCTTTTATGGCTATGAGTAATACATTTTCAGTAAAGCGAAGGACAGAGTTATTGTTATACCGCATATGACATTAAGAGTCGGACTACAGTGAAAAATGGCATATTTAGGGTTTGTTTGTTGCTCGCTTCGTATCGAGTGAGATATTGATTTACTGTCATGCAGATGTTGGATAAATGGGGCAACATCTGGATATGACACAATGACTTATCATAAAACTGCACTATCATTGGCAGCTGTTATTTCCCCTCCTACTGGCAGCCATTAGCTCGCCGTTCTATTCTTAAATTTAATATATTAATTCAAGTGGCTCCGACAGCAAATATATGTCAGAGTTTAGGTGGATTCCTGGAAGCCATAGCTATAGTAGCCTAATAATAATACTAATAATAACAATAATGGCAGATGCTGAAGCCACATTCTTCTTTAATATGACAATAAATCTATTGAATGATTTTCTGACTTGGCAAAAAAATAAAAAAGTCCCTAATTTAATAGGAAAGAATCATTTTAAACAGTGAGACAAAAGAGTCATGTGGAGCTCCAACCCAATATTTTAAAATATCGAAACATACAAACGAGATTATACAAAATCATACAAATTGACTCTTCACCGGGAGTTTGATTGACAGGTGATTTGACCAGTCATAATGCAGAATCTGCTATTTTGTCTAACAAACAAACCAGACAGGAGAGTAGTTTAACGTCGGTGGATATGAACTCGAAAAATGGTGTGTATTGACGTCTATCTGTGATTGAAACTAAATACCTTCTGATGTTCAATCATATTTATTTTAGGAAGAGATGATCAGATCATGTGCCGCTTGTACTGTAGTGAGGCAATACAGCGATCTGTTATGACACATTAAAGGAGTAGTTCACTTCCAGAATGAAAATGTACTCACCCCCGTATCATACAAGATGTTCATGTCTTTCTTTCTTCAATCTCAAAGGAAAAGATTACAGGAATGTTCTCCATATAATGGAATTCAATGGTGGGCAATGGATTGAAATTCCAAATTGCAGTTTCAGTGCAGCTTCTAAGAGCTCTATATGATCTACTCTACTTATCTAGAAGAGTAATTAGCCATTTTCTTAAAAAAAAATTATAATAATTAAAATAATTAAAAAAATTATATAATTTTTAAACACAAACTCTCGCGATGCGCATGTGCGTCTTCACACATTGCATAATCACATTGGAAAAGTCACGCGTGGTTAGTTTTTCGTCTGAGTACTTCGGTTCAAAAATGTAGAGTAGAGCGTAAAACTCCATTTCCTCCTGCAACTTCAAAATCATCCGACATCGTTGTTTTACCTTTTTTTGTAAAGGGCGTTTGACTTTCTTTCCACATTCCCTTTGTAAATGTCACGAATCCGGTCTGTGGACTTCCGTCAGTGATAGCTACATTACAGAGCCATTCCTGGTATTCTAGTCCTGTCAAGTCTCGCCTGTTTAGTCTAGTCGTGTTTTCAGATATCTTGCCTGTCTTTGAACTCTATTTAACCCTCGCCTGAACTATTGCCTGTGTTTTCAGATTACCCCTTTGGATTACCCTTTCTGGACATTGTCCGCCAGAGATCGACCATGCCTGTTTACTGGACTACTCTTTTGTCTTGCCCATGATATGCCTGTTTGCCAGTGACTGACTCTTGCCTGTTTTGTAACCACGTTGTAAAATAAAGCTCTTTAGATGGATCCGAACGTCTCTCGTCTCGTTCGCCCCATAACAGAATACTCGGCCACACAAGGATCCAGTGGCTTTCGCTCGAGGGCTATATTCTAGAATATCTAGACATTGCTAAATGTTAATATTGCTAAATGTTAAATATTCTGATTTTCCGGATTGTGTCCTGATCGATTTTTTTTGTGACGGCATTAACCAGCCATTAAACTCTCGACTGATCCGTGATGGTCCTCGAGCTACACTTAGTCTATTTTTGGACTATGCATTATTGTCTGTTGTCTCATATTTTACTGTGGGTGTCGCGGAGGAACATGACACCGAGTCTGATAGTGTAATGGCAGCCGCACCGGAGCGCGCTCACAAAATGGCGTCGAAAACAAAGCCGTGTCATGCTACTGCTGTCTTTACTGAGTTAAGTCAAGTCACGGCTGATTTTCCTGAGTCAAGTCAAGTCACAGCTGATCTTTATGAGTCAAGTCAAGTCACAGCTGATCTTCATGAGTCAAATCAAGTCACAACTGATCTTCATGAGTTAAGTCAAGTCACAGTTGATCGTCCAGAGTCACTTCACGTCACAGCTAATCGCCCAGAGTCCCGTCACGTCACAGCTGATCGTCCAGAGTCACATCACGTCTCAGCTGATCGTCCAGAGTCACGTCACGTCACAGCTGATCATCTAGAGTAAAGTGAAGTCACAGCTAATCGTCTAGAGCAGGGGTGGCGAACTCCGGTCCTGGAGAACCACAGCCCTGCAGAGTTCAGCTCCAACCCTAATTAAAACTCACCTGCCTGTAGCTTCCTAGTAACCGTTCATACCTTGATTAGCTTGTTCAGGTGTTTGATTAGGGTTGAAGCAAAACTCTGCAGGGCTGCGGCTCTCCAGGACCGACGTTCGCCACCCCTGGTCTAGAGTCTCGTCACGTCTCAGCTGATCTCCCAGAGTCTTGTCACGTTTCAGCTGATCTTCCAGAGTCAAGTCACATCTCAGCTGTTCGTCCAGAGTCACGTCACGTCGCAGCTGATCGTCCAGAGTCTGGCCACTTCCTGTCTGTTGCACCCAGATCTCCGAGGTCAGTTCGTCAGAATTCCCGACTGGCATCCTGCGTGGAGGATCCACCGCTGGTGTCAGCAGGTGCAGCTGGTATTCCCAAACCCACTCACTCTAGCCCTCCTGTTCCTGAACTGCTTCCCCTGTCTGAAGCGCTTCCCATGATGGGGATCGCTTTTTAGTGTGTTTGGACTGCATACACCATCACAGAACCGCCAGAGGTGGCGGCTGAGGCTGCAGAACCTCCAGAGATGGCGGTGCTCACTCCAGGTCCTCCAGAGGTGGCGGCTGAGGCTGCAGAACCTTCCAAGGCGGCGGCATTCACTTCAGCTCCTTGTGTGGTGGTGGCGCCCAGCAATGCACTTTCAGCCTGTTATGTCATGGAACCATTGCTGAACTTTGTACCTGTCCTGTTAAGAAGAATGCTAATGTATTTTCCCTGTTTCCTGATGGCATGGCTGTAGACCCTCCAGAGGTGGCGGCATCCGCTGCAGAACCTCCAGAGATGTCAGTGGTATCCACTTATGAACTCTCGTCCTGTTCTGTTCCGGCCAAGGAGGCCATCTATGAACACACTACCTGTCCTGTCATGGCTATGAAGGCTGTCTGTGAACTTTCTGCCAGTCCTGAAATGGCTATAGAGGCCGTCTGTGAACTCTCTGCCAGTCCTGAAATGGCTATGGAGGCCATCTGTGAACTCTCTGCCAGTCCTGTCACATCTATGGAGGCCGTCTGTGAACTCTCTGCCTGTCCTGTCACGGCTATGAAGGCTGTCTGTGAACTTTCTGCCAGTCTTGTAATGGCTATGGAGGCCGTCTGTGAACTCTCTGCCTGTTCTGTCATGGCTACGGAGGCCATTTATGAACTTTTGTCCTGCTCTGAACCAGCTGAGGAGGCCATCTCTGAACTCTCATCCTATTCTGAACCAGCCATGGGGGTTGATTGTGAACTGTCTATCCGTCTAGTTTCAACTAATGTGTCTGATTTTGAACTATCTTTCTTGCCAGTCTCAGTCAATGAGTTAAATAATGAACCGTCTGTCCAACCCAT